GGGCAGCGGCGGCTTCGGCACGGTGTACGCGGGCAGCAGGATCGCCGACGGCTTGCCGGTGAGCACGGGGGCTCGGCGCGGGGCCGCGGCCGGGGGGGCGCCCCCCGCCGCCGCGCCCCGCTCACGGCGCCGCGCTCTCCCCGCAGGTCGCCGTGAAGCATGTGGTGAAGGAGCGGGTCACCGAGTGGGGCACCATTGTAAGTACGGCGGGGGCTGCGCCATTGTGTGGGCGGCGGGCGGGAGGGAGGGGGGGGGGGGGGGGGGGGGGGGTTCTCCGCCGCAGCGCCGCCCCCGCCCCTCGGACTGCGGCAGCGGCGGAGCCTCCCAGCGGGGCGGGGGCGGCGGCGGCAGCGGCGGGGCGGGAGGGGCGGCGGCGGCGCCGGGGCTCCCGGTCTCACCCGCGGCCGCTGTGCGCGCAGGGCGGCGTCATGGTGCCCTTGGAGATCGTGCTGCTGAAGAAGGTGGGCTCCGGCTTCAGGGGGGTCATCAAGCTGCTGGACTGGTACGAGCGGCCCGACGGCTACCTCATCATCATGGAGCGGCCCGAGCTCGTGAAGGACCTCTTCGACTTCATCACCGAGAAGGGCGCACTCGACGAGGAGACGGCGCGCGGCTTCTTCCGGCAGGTGCTGGAGGCCGTGCGCCACTGCTACGGCTGCGGCGTCGTGCACCGCGACATCAAGGACGAGAACCTGCTCGTGGACCTGCGCACGGGCGAGCTCAAGCTCATCGACTTCGGCTCGGGCGCGCTCCTCAAGGACACGGTCTACACCGACTTCGACGGTACGTGCGCCGCGGTGCCGGCCCCGCGCCCCGGCCGGAGCCGCCTCCGCGCCCGCGCTGCCTCTGACGCAGCGGCTCCTATCGGGTCTATCGGTAACGGAAACCTTTGGACCCGCGGCGGCTTAGGGGTGTTCAGTTGCGCAGGAAAGAAGCCATTCCAGGCAGTGACGCAGCAGTTTATATTTCTCTGTCTTGGAAAAAGAGGTTTTTTTTCCTAGAGGGCGATCTGTTTACGTGGAGGCTCTGCCAGTGTCGGATGTTTCCATGTGTGGATATGCAGTTTTCGTATGCAGAGCTTTTTTTAACTTGAAGCAGTAGCTCTTCCCCCTCCCCTTCCGCTCGTGTCCTCAAAATCCCGCATTGCAGATCGTAAAGCAGTGGGATAAATACGCACCCTTTAAATGATCCGAAATCAGCTTCAGCGTCAGGTTTGATAAATTAGGGAAGGGAAACCTGAAAATAAGCCCTCATGTGATAGGGTGGAAAAAAATTTTCCCTTGCCCTTTGAATGTGACTAATGTAACCAAGGGACTTTTTTCTTTTTTTTCCTCCATCCTCAGCTGCTGCCCTTAACATCTGTTTGTTGTGAAACCCGAGCCCCTGGGCCACGTGACATTCGGCACCACAATTTTTTTTTCTTTTCCCGTATCCAAGGAGCACCGCGGGCAAAGAGGGAGGGGCGGGTTACAAAAGCTGCAGCCGAGAAGCACGGTGCTCTTAAAAAGGAGGAAAGGCGAAGGGGGGGGGGGGGGGGGGGAAAGCATAGAAATTGCAGGCAGGCAGCCCTGTGTTCACTGTCATGTGGAAGCGGATAAAGCAGATTAGCCCTATGTACTAAGGAAGACCCGAGTTTCACCTTCTTGTCTTCCTGTCTTCTCCTCCTCCCCGTCAACCCCCTTTGTCCTTTTGTGTCTATTTTTGGTGTGATGCTGCAGACGCCACGTGGTCAGTGAAAGGCAGCTTGCCTTAGTAAACAGTCAGCTGATGAAAGCAGCACTATTCCTCGCAACAAAATAGCGCAACCCCATGGGCCAATTTTATTGATGGTGCAACTCCACAAATGACCCGAAATTACACCACTTAGGGAATTCAGCCCTGCTTTTTTATTTTTTATATAATTTCAACTGATGAGTTTATAAATTTATGACAGGGCTACTAATAGCTGAATTAAGGAGGAATCGCTCTAAATATTGATTTTGACCTTTTTTTCCTTTTTTCTTTCTGCTTTTAGGAACAAGAGTATATAGCCCTCCAGAGTGGATCAGATACCACAGATACCATGGGAGGTCAGCGACAGTGTGGTCTCTGGGAGTTCTCCTGTATGATATGGTTTGTGGAGATATCCCTTTCGAACAGGATGAAGAAATCTTGAGGGGTCGATTATATTTCAGGAGAAGAATTTCACCTGGTGAGTTTCGTTGTGTGGGAGCACACGTGGGCTCTAGCAGTGGTGGCTTATTTTTTATTCAAGATTCTTCTTGCTTTCCTAGTCTGAACTTGCTTTGTATTTTTATTTCAGAATGTCAACAGCTGATCAAATGGTGCCTTTCTTTGAGGCCTTCAGACAGACCGACACTTGAGCAAATTTTTGACCATCAATGGATGCACAAATCCGAAGTAGTGAAGTCTGAGGACTGTGACATAAGGCTACGGACCCTTGATACTGATGTATCTAGCACAAGTTCAAGTAATGAGAGTCTGTGAATTACTAAGGACTTCGCACTGGGAGGGGAGCTACAAGCAGAAAGACCACAGTGCTGCTGCCAATACGTAGGAGGGGCTAGAAAAATGCATTCATTATTCTGTAGTTGAATCTTTGTCTGAGGGACTTGATTTTATTTTCCCCTTTTGCTGGTTTCTGCTTTGGAATGAGAGATTTCCTTTGGAAACGCTGATATTTGGGAGTTGCAGGCCAGTACTTAGTCAAAGACTGACCTTACTAAGAAAGCAGTGACCTCTTGAATACATGGTAAACTTTTTTGCTCTCATAGAGCCTGGACTAGATTTTATTTGCTTTTGAGTGCCTTTTTGAAAGCTGCTTCAGTGGGACTTTCTTTTTTGAGCTGTGTATGTCCAAAGAAGATCCAGTTCATTATAGGAATTTGCTTCCATTAGACTTAAGTGCTGAAGGAAGCGGCTCCTATGATGCATTGGAGAATGTGTTCGGTGACTGAATGAAGTAGTCCCATCCACTGGTGATGGAATACTTGAACACAGACATTTCACTCCTGCCCCCCCGCCCTTTCCAAATCCAACCCACCTCTGCTGCTCAAAATATTTCGTATAGCCTGCACAGAAATACGAACAGGTATATCGGCTTTTTTATCAGAAACATTTATTCATGTTTCCTTTTATCATCTCTACCACTGGGCATGAGAAGCCCCTTTCTCAACTCCCCCTGGCCTTTTGTCACCCTGCGAGTCTTAAGTATGTATGGGCATGTTGAATGCACAATCAATGCAATATTCAAGGACTTACTTTTTTCCATACCTGTATAATGTGTTTATGTAAACTTGGTTTTCCCGTGTACTATACAGTTATTTATTGTTTGAAGTTTAGAAGACCTCCCACAGGTTTCAGCTGTGGCTATTTATTTGGTTAATTTATTTGGTTAGAGTTACTCAACACTGTGCTTTCCCCCCTCCTCTTCTCCATGGGAATTCTAGTGGTTTACCCATGGCACTTTTTTTTCTGCATTCCTGTCAACTTTTGTTTAAGAAAAGACGACAAAAAATCTGACCTTATCAATTTTTTTGGAAGACAGAAAATTGTTGTACAAAGTCTAATTTAAGGGAAATAGAATGACTTTTTAAAGTTAGTCAGTATGCCTTTTGTCTGGTATTATTGTACCAGAAATGTAAAGTAATGCTGTTTGGAAGGGTTTTAAATTATTGACATTGTACAGTCTCCGTGCATTGGCTCTGGAAGGTAGAGTGGCAGAGTCATAAACCTTAATTTATTTTAATAGCTGTGTTTCTGTGATCTGGTTGCATTTATGCAGCTTGGATTTGAATTTTTTTCTTCTGTTTAACAGTGTGAAATGTATGGAGATCATATTTTTTATACAGGTATTTCAATTAAACTTTTTTTGTATATAACAGTTCTGTGGTTGTGTTCTTGCTACTTATCTTCACCATTTTTCTTCACAGCGTCTTGAAGTGTATATTCTTTAATTACAAAGGGCTGCAGTTGCCTACCCAGTGTTAACAGTCCTAAACTACAGAGCAGTAACCATTTGGAAGAATTAAACCACCCTTCATTTTGACCATGCGTACTCTTGATCTTGATGGTGGACTGCAGTAGGTGTAAAATACAACAATCGTGGCCTGCAAAGAGGGGGACTAGTCCCTCTGTGTGGTTATTATTTATTTTTGATTCTATAACCACCCAATAATTGAAATAAACACCACCCCATGGTGTTAAATACATAGAAGCATTTTTGGACTCGTGTTTACTGCTTTCATAGTTGACATGTTTACTTTCTATTACATCCCATTTCCGTCCTCCCTCTTTAGCCCTTCCTTTGGCATTTAGAAGGGAATTTCCTGTCTCTTTACAGGAAAAGGATGCTTAGGGAGCTGTATGTCTCTTTCCTTTCAGCTCCTTTGGGCTATTAAAAAGGATAGATTTGTTACTTCATTAAAATAGTGCAAGGAAGCACAACTCTGAACTAGAGCATGGAAAAGACAAGTGTCCTCAAGCATTCATGTTAGTGAGTTGGGAATGCATCAAACTGAGGCCACACCCAGATGCCTGATTTCACTTTTGCAGTTCATCGTTGGGAAGAAGAGATAATCCTAACTTGCATCAGGATATGCATTATGAATACAGTAACTAAAGGCGCTTTGTAGTACTAACAGTGAAGAACTAAATGTGAAATCTGTTGTTTTTGTGCTATTTCCCTTTTGGGGGCATCTTTCTGCCTGGTGACTTAGTATTTTGGTTCCCTATGGGGATTACCTTGCTGACATCTTGTCAAGCTCCTGATGTTAACTGGTTTAGATTTCAAAATGCCACCAAGTAGCAGGAGATAAAGCAGAAGAGGTAAAAGGCCATTTCTCTGTGTTTGTGTTTTCTGATGAGGTAATGATCTGTTTCTGGTGAGAAAAGTATAAAGTTTTCATCTTAACCATAAGAAGAATGCTTAAGTTACTCTTATTAGGGAAAAAACGCCGCCAACAATTGTGTCTGTTTCTTTATTTTCTGATCTGTAAGCTTTGAATCTGTAAATTCTAGTCCTTGGGAAATACATACAAAATACTTATTATTTGAATAATATTTGCACAGATAAAAGACCCTGCAGTTAAGATTTGCTTTGGAAAATCACATAATCATGTCCTAAGAGAAGATGACTTAAAAGTAGAGGCTGGAAATCTTAATTCTCCCTTTCGCTTGAGAGGAGGGACTTAGACAAGCTATAGAAGCGATCCTGAGTGATCCTCGTGCAGTTCTTTCGGGAAGCATGTTTCAAACCACAAGTAGTCCCCAGAGGAATTCCAGTAGCTGCTGATAATTAACATCTTCCACGCCAGTAGTTTCACATGCCGGCAGCGGCTGCGGGTGTGTTTGGGAGGCCTTCCACCACGAGGGTGAGCTTCAAAGGGAGTCAGGAAAGCCATCCTAAAAATATGTTTGCAAAGCTATTGTTAATTGCTCAGCTAGGAACTGTCAAAAGCTTGCCACAAGAGCACGTTTTTTTTTTTGTTTGTTTGTTTTTTGTTTTGTTTGTTTTTGTTTTTTAACTTAAGTTTGTAGATAAATGCCGCTTTGCAACAGAAAAACTAGGTTTTCACCTTTTGCTGCTGAGGCAAAATGCGTTAAAAGGATAAAGGTCAAAAGGACACAGGAGCTAGTGCTGACGCTCCTCTGGGATTATTTCAACATAAAACTTATATTTTCGGTACTGCACTGGCAACTTGAATTCTGAAATTCCCCTGTACGCTAATAGAAGCCACGTGGCTGAAACACCATCTACCGAAAGTTATGATTTGCAAAAATAGCTTTTCATTACAGCTGAAAGTTGGGAAATGTTGTGTTAATACAACTCCATTAGCTGACTGCTACTGTCAAACTGAGCAAGTCTGTGTGAGCTTTTGATTTCTCCTGTGCTTCTATCTATTTTAATATCATTATATTTTACTTCTTAAAGATCCTCCTCTCTATTTTCTCTCCATACCAGGTTATTTCTCAACAACACAAAACATGAAAAGTGCAATTCTGCAGATCATTCAAGATTCAGTCTTTTAAATCGCGGCTTTTTTCCAAACTCACAAATTGATTTAACTAAAAACATACCTGTACGCAACCTACTAGCTTCATAACATATATTTCAAAGTTACTTCCATGTTGAGAGTTATTTAGCAATATAGCAGTATAATTTATCTCCCTAATGCAACTCATGCCGCTCTTCTTTTTTTCTAGCATGAATAATCATGCTTTTTTTTTTCCATTCACTCAGTTGTATTTACTGAAAAAATCAAACAACAAATCTTTGAAAAATAAAAATCAGAACGTTCTTTGAAAGAGTGCTAGGATGTACTCCTGCCAAACTCTTATGGCTCTCTTTCAGTGGTTTACTGACCTCTGTTGGTGGAATTAAAGTATATGTTCTGAAAATGATCATGCGTAAATTGGGAAGTGAGATTTTTAAAACACTGTTGATAATCATTTTTTTTATATGGAAATGCATGTCTAACTCTTAAATGCCCCATATTGTGTGACAGTCTTGCATTACCAGAAAAGAAGAAATGATAAAAGAATGATTAATAGACTGAGCACATATGAAAATAACTTTTCAGTTTCTGAATATTTCTCAAAACAAGGCTGAGGCAGATAAAATTGTTAAAATTTAGCTACTGGAGATCTTCAGGAAGAAAAAAAAAAAAGTAGGCTCTCAATATGCTGATAGCCAACCTGCCTATGGAGCCCCCAGTCATTTTCATGCCCCCTGTCATGAGCACACATCTGCATATCAGCCCTGTTTCTTCAATCTGATCTGATTCGCAGTGAGAAGTCCTTGTCCCCTACATAGAGCTGTGCAGTAATTCTCGGCAGTGACACTGCAGAACGTTTTGGCCGTATCATCTTACCATCAGTGTAATGCTTCCTTCCACTAACAACAACTAGCTGCTGGTTGTGACAGAAGTCAAGATGGTAGCTTCTTAACTTCATCAAATCCCTAAGCAGTATTCAATATTTTGCTCTTGTAGGATTGAAGAAAATACGTGCTTTGTTATGTTTACAAATCGGTTGCTTAGTTCCATGGTTACCTACTTTTTAAAAATCTAGTATGTATTTGCTTAAGGGATTCCTTCAGGTAACTACATACCAAAAACATATAAAACTTTGATTATTGCAGAACTGCTGAACAGAATGATAAGGAGGTCATAAAGTCATGCAACTAAAAATGAATTTAAATCTATTTTTAGACACAGTTCCTACCTAATTTCAGAGTATGTTTATTTCAAAGCTGATGGATTCCTGTGGATCAATAAAACTGTTGCTTGGTCACTGAGTGACCTGGTCACTGAGTTGGTCACTGAGACTCTACAGGCCTTATTTGTTTATGAATAGAACTGGCACTAGAGATATCCAGAACTTGAATCTAACAGCAGGCAAAATGAGTAGCAACATAAATCCACAAAAGTCTCACAGAGATTGTCTTAGCTAGCAATATCACTCCTGTTCCAATAAATGTAATAGATATTCAGCCTCTTGTATCTCTGCTGATAATCCTGCTCTAATTTTAGTATGGCCTGTTACTCTCAAGTTTCAAAGAAATGATAAGTGATACCCAAATACCTGTTAAATTTTGCATATTTACATTTAAGATACTAGGATTCACTTTTTCATTAGAATGCATATATCTCAAATTATTTGCCTGCAAAAGAATAAAGCTTACATAATAATAATATAAATAAAAAAATACAAGTCTTGGATAAGCTGTATTTAAGCTCTAATTAATATGGATTTAGTAAGAATATTATCTATTATAGCTAATACTCTACTAATTGACTATACAAACTATAATTTAAAAGCTGATCATACTAGTCCAATAAGAGAATTAGTGGAATATATACTTTAACTTTCACTTCTTTCTCAGGTAAGTCTTTGTTAAACCTCCAAACTGCAATTAAGTCACAGGCAAATAACTTCCTGTGGATCAATATATTTCTTAGTTTACTGTTAATGACTCAGCAGACACCTTAACTCTCCAGTCAGACATAATGATAGATTTCAGAAAAAAAAAAAAAAAACACTGAAATTTGAAGGGTATTTGATCCTTCTTGTGCAGAATCCTTAAAAAAAAGTTATTTTGTGAAACTTTTTTCTGAGTAGTATAGCTGTGTGGATATTTTTAATGTAATTTTTGTTTGAAAAATGCTCCTTTCTTGAAACCAAAAAAAAAAAAAAAGAAAAAGCCTTTGCTTGAAACACATATTTCTAAGATTATAGATGGTCTGATTTTAAGGTCAAAGTTAATGTCTTTCCACTTTACTGTTTCTCTTGTTTCAGACAAGTAAAACTTAGGTATCAAAAATAGGTCTATTCAAGTTAAAATATGAAAATATGTTAACAACCACATGCTAGGAGATACTTTTTTCTCCCAAGTTTCAAAACCTGAAAATGTCAGGAAATGGAACAGTCATCCTGCGGGAAAGTGCCTCTTATCAGGGAGAAATGCTCCCATATTCATAGACTCCAGGCAGGGTTTTTTGTTTTTTAAATATCTGTATAATAGCAAAAGTCCTAAAATATACACCAGCTTAGACTTACATCAGCATATAAAAAAGTATAACAAGTGTCAGCCTTTCAGAAGTAACTCTTCTGTGCTCCCTGAGCACAGGTAAATAGCTAGCAAACTTAATACACAGGAAGGCAGATTAAGTTGATGTAAAGAAAAGATTTATAGCTGTGGGGATAGATGAGTGACAATAAACAGTATATAGATTATATCAAAGTTTCATCATTTTTTTAAAAAAGCATTTTTCATAAATCATCCAGAAATTCCTGGTCCTGCTTTGATGCAAGTATGGCTGGTTTAGAAATACT